ATTTTTTAAACGTGAAAATTTAATGAAATAGCGGTTTCATTATATTTAAAGTATTCAATCCATATCCATTAAGTAATCTATAACTACAGAGTAATTTTTTTATGCTATTAAATTTATTTTTAAGATGATCAAATGACCTAATTCTTGCCGGTCAATTGAAACTCTTGCAATACACCCTCGTTATAAAATCATTTGTCAAGGGAAAAAAAAACCAACATATGGATATTGATAACATGGTAGATAAATCGAGTGGATAACTAAAAATAAAATTTCATAAATAGTACCCTTGTCGTATTTAATATATTAAATAATTTTTAAAATTACACATTTTAAATCTATTAGATTTTTGTACAAAATCATGACTTGTATGTTGCTGGATACCTAAATATTATTTATTTTAGCAATTTTTATTATCATAAATATAATTTACGAAACACATGTTACATAAAAAATCACAAATTAACTAAATATTTATTACTGAAAAAAACTCTAAATTTCAAATCCTTATATATTTTAAACTTATCAAGGGGGAAAAAACTTAAATGTATTTTAATTTAGTTTTTTTTATCATTGAATATCATATTACGATTACTTTAACTTCATCATTAACGCCTACAAATTAAAGAACTAAAAATATATTATGATCAACTTATTATTATTATTATTATTATTGTGTATTTTGAAAGGAGAATAAATAGTGTTCATGATGGAAAAATGAAAAGAAGAAGGAAAAAAAAAGGTGAGGCGGCGTGAATGGATCGCGCTCTTGGCCTGTCAGCTTAGGCCGGCACGCGCCTAAGCCAGGCGAGCTAGGCTCGGCCTCAACCAAACTTTTTGAGAGAGAGATAGAAAAAAAAAAAAACCCATGGGTGATGATGCGTCGTCTGGAACAGCAGACAGACGATGCATCGTCCACTTTTTTTTTTTTTTTGGCCCCAATGACTTAAGGGTGGTCAAAAAGTCACAAATCTTTTGATTTTCTCTCCCAAAAGTGATTTTTTTTTAGTTTTTACACAGAAACACCTTAAGGTATTCCTAAAGACCTCAATAAACATAAATCAAACTTCAAAATCCTCAAATCTATTTTAATACTCTTTTAAACAATAATTCATCAAATCAATTTTCAATATCTATTTCTACAATGAGCTTCATATCTAGTTTTTTTCACCACTTTGAAACTCTTAAGCACCTTCATTCGACTTGAGAGGTTAAGATCTATCAAATGGAGGCGACAGTAGCCTTAATTGATGTTGGAAATTGGTTTTTGAGCCGCTTTTTCTCTTCTCTATTTCTCCAAACTGGGAGCCCCTCTCGTTAACTAGGAACCTTTTAGTAAATTGGTCAATGCATATGAGAGGATCAAAATCGATTGTGGTAAAAAGAAAAACCAAAGTGAAAATTAAATCAAAATGATTTTGTTGTGCTGCACTCTCTGTACGAAAACTATGGTATTTGGTGAAAGAATTATTTCTTATTTTAAACAGTAAAAAACCACTTCAATTTTTGTCTTCTGTTTTCAATATAGAACTCGAGTTATGGACCAAAATTTTGAGAGCTTTCTTAATATAACACTCAAATAACACTAATGTACAAAACTATATTTACCATTTAAGTTGGACCCTCATGTACAAAACGTTAAATCTAACTCAGGGACAAGAGTTTAAAATATTTATATATTATTTTTCTTTTAATCAGTAAACACAAAATAATAAGACATAGTTTCTTTCTCAATCTCTTTATAAACCACATTATGTTGTATAATTTATTCTTATTGGTTTAAAAAAGAATATCTCTTCTTTTATAATTAACAATCTGTAATTTTTTTAACATTTTTTTAATTGTAATTCAGTGTGTGAGTTATTTTTTAAATTTCAATACTAATTAAGTACTACTTTGATATTAATGTTACTAAAATTAAAAAGAAAGACAGTGATTTTTTAAATTTCAATACTAATTAAGTACTAATTTGATATTAGTGTTACTAAAATTAAAAAGAAAGACTCAGAAGAAGAAGAAGAAGAATTAATTTTACTAAAATTAAAAAAAAAAAAAAAAAAAAGGTTTCAAAGGATTGGTCCTTGTGATATGAAAAACACTCATTCAAATATGGTTTTGAATTCCAGTTTTATCATTGGCTTCCTGAAAAGATGATAGATATATCTGCATTAGTTTCATTCTCACGAAAAGACGTACTTTACTATAAATGCAGTAAAAATCTTTTCATATAGTGAAACTATCTATACACTAGTTTTTATGTTATTTTATGTTAATTTTATTAAAGAAGAAGAAGCAGAAATAGCATTACTATTCATAAGCATGCAGTGATGTTCAAATAATCACTACAAGCATTAAAAAGATGGGTGTATTCTCTTTAATAATTGATTAATTAATTACTCACTGAAGTTTAATTTTTCTATGAAAAAAAAAAACTAACAAAATCCATCACTAGCACCTTTTAGGTTTCAGTTATATATATATATATATATATATATATATATATATATATATATATATATATATATATATATAATTTTACCCCAACTAAACTAATTTAAAGATAATTATAAAAAAAGAATTTAAAGATAACTTATCATACCTTATATAGATTTATCCAAATTTAAAAAGTCAATATAATACAATAATTATTCAAATTTATTCATTTACAAATAATTCAAAACAATTTATTAGATATTAGAAAAAAAATCATAAAATAATTGAATAATACACGTAAAGAAACATATACCTAAAAAATTTATATAAAAATATTGGTTTTACTATCTTGAAGTCAAAAATAAATAATTATTATGCTTTATTATCTTCGTGAAGTAAGCATTCCCATTAACTAAATCATAACTTATCTAACGTTTTTTCTTTCTTTCTTGGTTTCCCTAACGAGTTTTTTTTTTTTTAATCTTAAGTATTCATGGTGCACTATCCTTATACCTAATTTGTAAATTAGGATTCCAATTCGTTATACATGTACACGCATAACCATAACCACACCCACACCCACACAAACATGTGGAAAAAAAAAAAAAAGGTTTAACAAGTTTGTTTTCCTCAATCACCTTTTTGTTTTATTCCACGAATCGTTAACAATAGAATATTTAAAGATACTTACCCACCGAGATCAAAGTTAATTACGTATGTATTTTCCTTCTATTGAGTTGATTACACTAGATACCGCTATTCTTTCTCGACACTGGATACAAATCTTTTAATTTTTGGTTTAATTATTTTCATTGTTATATTTACTCTTATTGTTAAGATTTTTTAAATTAGTTATTTTTTATTTAATTAGATAAGTGTTATTAGAAAATTAGTATTCTAGGATTCTATATTATTTTCTTGTTTAGCATCATTATTATTTTATAGTTTTTCTTTTTAAAGGGTTGTAAGAGCATCTCCAACGATGCTCTTTACTTTTAACTAGTATTTTTAATATAAATAGAGAACATCATTAATTATATTGATTGAAAATCAATATCTCATCTAATGTTATTACGTACTTTAACTCTTTATTTTGACAAAATTCAGAAAACCCGGAAAGACTATTGGTGAAGAGGCTGAGTGGCATGAGAAATAGTAATTTTCATTAATGAAATATAAGATAAATAATCATTTAGACTCTCTAGTATTTGAGAGCTAAAGACACTTTGTATCTTAATTTTAAACATAGAGATTGTATTAAAGAGAGCGTTGGAGATGAAATTTGGACAAAACCTTTTTATTATAAAGAAAAATCTTAATATAAAGAGAACATTGTAGATGCTCTCATACTCTCATAAAAACATTAGATTAATATAAGAATTGAGTATTTTGAGAGTTTCCGACAATTATGACTATGTCTTTAATATGTTTTGACGGTTATTGAGAATCAATAAACTCCGTTATTTTGCTACCTGTGGCATCATTTATGCCCAATAGAAAGTAAGACTAAAGAGCTTGAAGTTACAATAAATTTATTTTTATAATTTCCATTAATAAAATAAAATATAATGCTAAGCGAGTCCTTAATTTGGGATTGAAATTTGTATAGCTCTATTGTTACTTTACGTTAAAAATTTTAATTTCAGTATGAGAATGGAGGTTACAAAATTTGAATTCATCATCGTTTACTCAATAAAATATATCAAAAAATTATTATAATTTATTGAAATTAGAGACTAATTTTATATTTTTTTTGGCAAAATTTGTGTGGTAGGATGGTATGTAACCCTTTTTCGTGACCTTTACTAGAAGAGAAGAAGAAGTGCATAAGTAAAAAAAAATGAATAAAAAATGAGATTAATATATATATATATATTTAAAAATGTTGAAAAAAAAATTCTAATTGTTTAAATAAGTGATTTTATATCATTGTGTGTGTATATATATATAAAAACTTTCTTAATAACTATTTACATCTTATATACTTGATAAAATAACGAGAGATTAATCCAAATATTTAGATTTGTGTAACTTAGAGCATTAAAAAAAAAAAAAAAAGTATGAGGCCAAAAGAATCTCGAACTTCTCCTCCCACATCATATGACAGGTGAGCATCGTGTTGCTAATTAAAAAAAAGATCCATTTTAACCAGCATACAAGGAAAGGGGAATCCATTATACCCTTTGAACCCAACCATTGGATCAATCTACATTATAGTTGAAAAGGTTGATTTTTGACCTAGTCAACGTCCAATTAAAACTCTTAAATCCAACTGCAGGTTTTTTTCGAAACTCCGTCATCCGGAAGCTAGTTAAACTGTAACCATCCCCATGCCTATAGTAACAACAGTTAATCTACTGTAATTACTAACAACACGTTATCATAAATAGCAAACTTTTCGTAGTGACAAGAAATAATTCTAACGTCAACAAGAAACCTAAAAGATATAGGCATTTTACTATTCAATTCATTATTCGTTTACATTCATGTTTATTATTCACATGGCATTGGTGTAATTTTCTCATAATCTTCAGCCTCCAATTAAGCAGACGTCCATTTTCTTAGTTATATCATATTTCATACGTCATTCCAACCCTGAGAAGTCTGGTTCGAGGGATCGCCAAAACTTTCTCCCCTTGTCTAAAGTTTTTCCTTAGGAAACTATACCCATAATTAACAACTAGTTTCTTGAACCAGGATGATTCTGATTTTGCCACCACTTCCGCTTCTCCTATGAGATAGATCACACCTTTCTCCAGTGCTCTCTGCACAAACTGCATCTCCTCTTCGGCACCTTTTGGGACAGAGGCAGATATCATTCCACTAGAAGAATTTGCTGATTTAATCCCATTCACTGACTGAATGGAACGTGACGATGCATTGAATGACTGAATGGAAGCTGAAGAAATGCGGGGTGGGTTAGGCTGCTGTAGCGATTCCTCAACATGAACTGCTGGAGATCCTTTGGCTTTTCCATCTTTCATTACTAGTGGAGTGGAATGCTGGATGTTATCGGCCTCGGGTGTTGTAACATTGTCGCCTCCTTCACGAATGAAGTGTTCATGGCGGATGAATTCTTTCAAGTTTTCAACCAACTGGCGCTCAAATTCGTGGGGCTCCTCAATGGCATCTTTATAGCCATATCTCACAACACAACGGTACATCCTGTATTCTCTTGGCTCAACTTGTCGGAACAAGAAACGTTCCTCGAGTGCCACTTTACTTATTGGAATAGACTTGATTGAGACAAGCACTACAACCGAGTGTGTGGAAGGTATGTTGGAAATGAAGTGAGGGAATATTGGAGGAATGCCCTGCACAAGCTCAGAGTACAGAAGTCCTATTCCCGGTAGCCGGTTTATGTTTGTGTTCCCCGCCAGTTTTAACAAATACTCACTCGAAACCTTGTTCTGAAGCTCGTATATGTACCTTTCTCTGTGCACATAATGCCATATCCCCATTACTATTATTAGGAAAGATGAAAATGCCAGTGGAAGGAACCCACCTTGTTTAAATTTGTATAGGACGGATGATAGATACAAGACCTCTACAGCACCAAATCCGCAAAAGAACAGAGCAATCCACCATATCCTTGCCTTCCATATGACTAGCATGATAAGTGTAACCATACAAGTTGTGATTACCATAACAGCAACCACAGCAATTCCTGCATTCAGAGAAGTTTATATTATTCAGACCGAAACATGCATTCTTAAAACTTAGAGGTGAAAGAAGATCGAAGTTAACTCCTAGTTGCTTACCATATGCATTGCCGATCTTTTCAGTTGTCTTAAATGCTAAACAGACGATAACGCAGGCAACCATAAGCAAGTAATTAACCTCAGGTATGTAAACTTGACCCTCATACGTTGCGGAAGTGTGAATAACCTTGACTCTGGGAAAACAACCAAGACTTAGGGATTGAGAGATGATTGCAAAAGCTCCTGATATCATGGCTTGGCTAGCAATAATTGCAGCACCTAGAGCAACAACAAATGTCGGCCAATACATAGGATCTGCACGCCAGTGAAAATAAATAACTCAAAATCAGTTTATGCTTTTTTCTTGATGAATGATTAAAAAATTTGTATCATTTCTCGATTTTTGCATGTCATCTTTGCATCCTTGCACGAGGCTGATGCTTCTCTTTCTTATCTTGTTCCAATTTTATGGAATATCTTAGAGAGGACAGTTATTGTATGCTATAAGTTTTGTATGTGCTGTAATTATGTATACAACATTTTAGCTATATCAAGAAAGAATTTGACATGGTTGCAGTAGTTTTTTCCCGCTCATTAGGAAATACCTGGAATAGATTTGTAGAAGGTATCAGACACATTATCTTGGAATTTGGAGAGGTATGCGGCTTGCCCACTATATGCAGCTAGTAATGCAGGACAGACGATGCTGGAAAAACTAATCTGCATAGGAGTACAAAAGAGTTGTCATCACATAATTAAGTATAATAATCAGTCTGGGGTAATCATAATTAAAGCAACACTGACAATGAGTCATGAGTCTGTAGCACATGGACATGGTCAGTGATTCAATTAATCATTGTAAGTTTTGGTGCTTGCTTGCTTGGTGTTCTCGCATGTACTATTATCAGTTGTTCTGAGCAGTCTTGGATAGCTAAAACTGAGAGGTTAAAGAACACCGGAAATGCATATATACAAACAGACACTCACTTGGATTGCTCGCACGTTAAAGTGACCCAGATCAGCGAACATAGCTTCAGTTCCTGTCACCTAATCAGTTAGAGACAAAAGTATACATGCCTTGTTTTTTACAAGTAACTTAATCTACGAAACTAGCACTCACCTGTTATGCATAGAACTATTCCGCCAAGTGAAATCCATCCTTGCTTACCATTCCTTTTGAAGTAATCAAATATGTACTTTGGATTGAACGCACGTAGCACGCCGATTTCATATTTGAACAAATTATAAAGACCGATTCCACCAATGAATGAATACCATACCAAGACCATTGGAGCAAATGCAAAGCCCACTTTATCGGTGCCAAATCGTTGAACAGAGAATAGAGCTATCAAGATTGCTATTGAAATGCCAACAATAGCATCTGCACGTATAATTGACGAAACTTAACGTTATTGAAAGAAAAAGTCCTTGGTTATAATTATCAGTAAAATGCCATAAAATTACGACTAGTAGTATTAATTAAGTAGATTATAAACCGTGTGATGGGTAAAATTAAATTCTGGATGTTTTAATGATCACGTATATTCTCCGTCGCTCTTCCTCTCTAAGAACCATGCATGTGCAGTATATAGTACCTTGGCTAAGGGACTTGATCCCACTAACTGCTGAAAGAACTGCAAAAGAATATTTGTTAATCTCACAAGTCAGTATTTCTCTGAATCAGAGTGACCAATGTGCCCAGATTAGGTGAAAATATAGTTGGATGCAGAAAAACCTGAAATGCATGGAGTGAGGACACCATCTCCAATAACCATGGAAGTTCCTAGGATGGTCACTAGGAAAAGTATGATTTTAATTGTTTTACTACTTTCCATCTTCTCTCGGATGACTTGAGCCCGCCTCAACTGATTGGATGGTATGTCGAGTCTGTAGTTGGATAACTGGTGGTCCTCTGGCTGGTCATTTGGAATTAAGCCCACCTTTGCAGATCGGCATATCAATGAATAGAGTGCAAATGTACCGCCTGTTCAAGGGTACAGCTATTCGTGATCAAATAATATCTAGGTTTACCAAAACAATTCAAGAACTGCTTAGCTAGCCATGTAAAGCAGTTTAGTCCAATAAGAACAGTAAAAATATGTGGTAAAGAACCTACAATTACTTTACAGAAACATAGATAAAAACAGATTATGGAAGAAAGCTTTCATTTCCGTGTTACTCCTATAATTATATATATTTTTGGAAACAACTGTTTACTTTTAAGCACAACAAAGCCAAACAAACCCAAATAAAGAATCCCACATCCATAACAGAGTATTCCCTACAATTTACTGCAACATCTCCGAACATGCTTATTAGTTATTGAAATCGTCAGGTTTTTAATGAATAACTTTCTCAGGAAAAAAATATATCAGTAAATTAAAAAGCAAGGAAGCCTATAGTAAACTCACGGCACTTGTCTATATATATATACATATATTATAATGCAAGGATTCATTTATAAGAAACGTCAGATGATCTAATGAATGACTTTGTGAGGGAAAAATAATATAATACCAAGGAGGCCTATAAACTAATGGCACTTGTCTACATAATTAAAATTTCTATATATTATCCTAGAACAACGATTCATTCATCGGAATCTCCATAAATAACACATGGCACGCATCAATGAAATATATGCATTTCAGCATTTGTTTTCTTTTCCTTCAATATATCAGGTGACGGAAACACAAAAAAAGAAGTTTAAATTCACACAGCTCATTGATTTCCATTAAAAAAAAAAAACACACCATCAATAAGAGTCCATCTAGTTTTCTAAGAAAGTGAATAAATAGGCAGTTTTATATATCAGCATAAACTTTGACAGAGAAATAGTAAAGATCATATCAGAAAACTCCACACCGAAGTTTAGGCTAGTTATCAGGTGTAAAAAACTGTGGCCATAGTCAAGCAGCCACGAATTAGCTTCAATGATTTACGATTCTTCTTAACAAGAATTGATGAAATTTTGGTGAACTTACTTACCATCACCGTTGTCGTTGGCCCACAGAACAATGAAGACGTACTTAATCATAGGCACTAGCACTATGGTATAAATTATGATGGACAATACCCCAAGAATGTCCTGTCCATGCTTAATACCCTCGGTGAAAGTGCTTGCATATACGTAAAGCGGAGATGTTCCTATGTCTCCATAAACTATTCCAATGCTTTGAAATGCCAAACTCAACGTCCTCTGCCAATTAACCTGCACAATTTTTAAGCATAGAACAAAGGTTACATAATGAGGGATTTATGGTTGGCATTAAACACAAATAAACATCACAGTATTTGGTAAATGACCTTAGAGTTGTGGGCACTGTGACTGTGAGACATGGAAACTCTACCCGCCTCCAGATTGAGTGAGTCGACGCGGCGCAGCTTTCCCCATGATACCTTTCGCCCTTTCAGCTTATTTTCCACCTTTATTTCTTCTTCCATTTGCACTTGGTTTGTTTCCATCGCTTGCTCTGCCATCTTCTTTTCACTGCTGTATTTATGTGAAGCTAGCTGCCATCTTCTTTCAATTTATAGGCTATTACTCATTATTCCAATGTGCCCTTCCAAATTCTAGGCACTGAAGTCAGGGATGATGATAATTAATTAATCTATTAATCATTATTCTAACGATTCCTTGCAGATGTCGCTTTCAAGTCTCATTCAGCAGACACTTGTCACTAAGTTGGATCCAAGTAGCATTTTTTTTTTGTTTATTCCAATTATTTAACTGTTACTAACTCGAAGTCAAATATGCTCTAAATAATATTATATTGTATGATGATTTATTTATCACCCAAAATTCCATAACATTCGTTGGTCGATACAATAATGAGTTGTTAGGTTTCAATTTTGCCAATTCAGAAAAAAAAACAAAAGAAAACATGGATATACCGTTAAGGTGCCGAGTATGTCACAGCATAATGATTGTTGAATTGTGTTTTAAATCGAAGTATATATGGTATGATTTAATTAAGCCGAATATTAAGTAAATAATGAATGTAATGTAGACTGTTTTGTAATCTTCCCCTTTAAAATTGGATTTGAAATATATATTAGAAGACAAAACTGACATAGCGAGTATTTAAAGAAGAGTTATGCGGCAAACGCATTTCGGTGTTTGCAAAATTGTCTCTCTGTGAGACAGTGCTTGAAGTATTTGTGAGGTTTGTTTTGTATGTAGTAGACTAGTGGTGTTTTTTTTTTTACGACTTGTGAGGATCAATTTTGGGTCTATTAGAGTTCTGAATTTGTGCGCGTGAGGTGGAAAATTTTATAATACTCCAAAAATAACTAGTAATATGTATAGTTGTTATTTTATGAATTCACTTGGAGGAGAGAGATAAACACATAAAATTACATTTGGATGCATAAAAAATAATAAAAAGATTTCATATTCGTTCAATTTTTTTTAAAATTTTCTCTCTCATTTTTCTCTTTTTTTTTTTTTTTGTTTCTATCTTTTTTTTTTAAGTAGGATTATGAAGTAACTAGTGTATATATCACTAATTACTTATTGAGTATTATAAAATTTATCCGATTGAGGTGATTTTTTTTAGAGGATTTATTGTTGTGTTGCTGCTACTGTTTTTACATAGTTGTAGTTCCCACAGTTAGTCAATTATTGGCCTAACCACATTCATTTTAACAGTACGTAGCCAAAAACAAATCAGAAAGAAATTTACAATTCAAATTTTATCATTCTATCTGGAGGGGGAAAAAAGCCTGGCAGTATTTTAGAGATAGGAATGGCAAGGTTGACTGTCTCCCGGTTACAAACACTGCAGAAGCTGAGATAGAAAAATGGGCTGCGATGATAAAAACATTAGCCATGAACAATAGTCTATATTAGTGCCTAAAAGGACCATAACTGCAGGAGTAGGATGGATCGCTAGGGTGAACAAGAATTCTGTGGACGAGTATATCAGATTATTATGATTAATCTTGTTAACCTTAATTCTGAAATGATTCGTTAGTAGAAAAGTTATAGCCGAAATTATTTCATTAAATAAGACAAATGAAAGAATCTTAATCGTACGTTTCATTAAGAATTCATTAGGTATGTTGGACAGTTTGGTACAATGATGGATACAAAGTAAAATAAAATAAAGAATTGTACTAACATCAGACAAAACTCTTTGTCTTATTTAGCGTAACAAATCCAACCTAAAAGGAATAATACTTTCAAAAGAAATAAAATTAAGCATTTTGAAGTTGACATGTTCTTGTAACTTGGTCTACTCATTCAAGTCATCGGACATCTTATAGATTAAAGAGTTTGTATCATAATAATAATAGTTTTTAACAATAAAAGATCATGGATTCAAATTTTAAAAAATTAATTCTATTAACAGCCTTATATATCCCATAATTTCCATGGTACCATTACTTTATTGTCGATTATTGCTAATTTATATGCATTATTTGTTTCCTAGGTAGTAGCCTCCAATCATTTGTGAGTTGCGAAACCCTTATATCATCATATCTTTGAAAAATCGAAAAGTTCCTCTTTTTTTTTATTGGATTTATTATTTATAAATTATTAGATAAACAAAACGTACTTAGAGTCTGCATTTTAAGGTTCCAAAAAGACGATATATGTGGCACCGAACCAGAAGAAAATCAGACTTTCAATTCGACAAATCCTGAAAAGTTATACCATTAAAATGAATCTGTTCTTGTTATTGTGGTGCTTTGATTCGTGTACAGTCAATCATTTCAACTGAGAAGTTAATTAGGACCCGGCTACATTAACCACCGAAAAAGCACTAATTCAAGATGTCATTGTAGCTTGTGAATCTTGCAAGCCAGACTTTTGTTGCTTTTCTACTCCAAAACAGTGACTGTGATTAGTACGTAAATGAAACATTATTGCAATAATTAGCAATATTTTAGTATGTTAATGAAGTCCCAATCAATAATGTCTTAAAGTAAACCACCCGTGCCGTTGGACAAGTTGAGAATTGAAACTTTCAACTCCTGAACATGGGCGGTTATGTCATAAGTTACATATGTGCGTGCATTGACTTTTTGAGACGCTGCAATTTGTGCCATTTATAGGTGCATCCAGGGGAAATTTATCTTGAATGTGGTTATGTCAAATAAATACCATATTGACGGGTCCAATGACTCGATCAATAATCGATAGCTACATGATTTTTTTTTTTTTTTATGGATGTAAATAAACAATGAAGATTAATTGTTTCCGATCACATTCTCTTCTACGTAATAAGCCTGCAAAATAAGTTTTTTTTTATTGTTTGAAGAACCATCAAATAGTAAAGTTAGTAATAAAAAAAAAAGGTCTAATTAGGTATATTATAGCAATTTTGTATGTGTGGCAGAAATGATAAATGATGTGTTATTTGAAAATGCAGACTTAAAAATTTGAAACTCTTGATGATTAGAGTTTTTATATAAGCGAGATTTTGTCATGTTACATAATGAAAAAAATATATTATTTTATTCATTTGTCGTTAGCAGTTTTTCATGTCAAATTGGATCATCTGTATTTTTGATGTGATTTGTTCTCCAATAACGTTAGTATTGTCATCGTTGGCGTGAATTGAATAAGGACAGACTTAAAATGGTGTCTTCATTGAATACTTGTCTTTTTACCATGATGGTTGATGGAATGAGTTATTTTTCGTTAGAAAAGAGGATCGTAGACCGTAAAAAACTTTACGTTGTCTTGAGATCGCAATCAATCCTTGAAGAAAAAATATTGTGTTTGGTACATCTAGAGTGACACGATTCATTTGGACTCATTGATAAAATTGACACTTGTCATTCGAACTCATCACATATGACTCCACATGTATTTAAAACTTTGCACTTCAGTGTTGAAGGTTTACATTTTTACACTCAAGCCATTTGCATTTTGTTTTGTCGCCGCTTGCAAAGTGACAAACGTCATCGTCTAAATTGAAACCGGCAAGGAAAATTGGAAACCCACTAAAACGTTCAGTCGTGTTGGTTAAAAAATATTCTTCAATGAGACTCGACCAATTATCCAATAGAATGGATGAATATTTTAATCCACAAATATTAGATTTCATTGGTTGAATTTAAGCATTTCATTCTCTTTTAAGTCCCTAAAATCAATATAATTTGATTTACATTTTAAAAAGTTTTTCATTTACACCTCCAATCACTAGAATTTAATCTGTGAGTTACTTCTTAAAACTTAAAAAAAAAAAATACAATCCATACTTCATCCTTTCTTTTCATTTTTATCCATAAACAGTCCTAAGCTTTATAGAATATTCGAGCAGCATATTTATATTTTTAGACCGGGCCCAACCCTAGTTTAACTTTGGCAAAACTTCTTAACCTTGATTAGTGTAAATAATAATAAAAAAAAATAGAAACTTTTTAAGGATGAGTGTTTTTTTTTTTCTTGTTTCATTCAATTCTCACTTTTGGAATGTGATCGTTTTAGAATTAGTCCTTTTGTTTTTTATTTTTCAGCCTTTAGTTAAGGAGAGTTTCAATGAGTCTTGGAGTATATAATAAAAAATATTAGCTAGTTTATTTGGTAAAATTACTTGGCATATCATTATTATTAATTATATCAAGCGATTTGGTATCAATTTTCATCCGCTCAAGAGTGGAAGGAGGTCATATCCGTAAAGAACTATCCCTATTATGCAATTTAAGACTTGATTTTATAGTATTAAATATCTTAATATTTAATCTTAATCTAATTGTAGAGTATTCCAACTTGGAATCTAAGTGACTATTCCAACTTGTTATACCACTTATTATACCGATTAAAAATTCTAAGTGACTAGTACAACTTGGAAAGGACATGCATGATGCACCCAGTGGCTTGAAGCAGAATCATCTAATTGCCTTGCAATCTCTTTCATTGAGCCTTCCTAGTTGAAATTAATACATATCTAAGATTGGGGGCATATGAGAAAATAATAATTTTTTTGGAGTGCAAAACATGTACAATTGAAGAGTAAAATTAAAAACTTTCAAGAATTTAGGACTAAAATGTATAATTTTATAAAATTTAGGAGTGCCATGTGCCCCAATCCATTTTTCTAGTTTCTTCACCTCCGTAATGTTAATTGATTTCAAGTCAAATGATATTATTTGTTATATCATATTAGTATTTTTTTCATACTTTCTTAAAATATATATTTTTTAAAATTATTAGTTATCAAATGTAATCTCCATTGTATGAAGCTAATATTAACTCTGAGATAAAATCTTTTCAAAAATAAAATAATAAATAAAAAAATCATTAAGTTAATTAATAATTAAGTTTATAATAATTATGAAAAGATAATATAATAATGTAAATATTTTAATTCCAAACTTTTGGCATGCAATAAAGTCCTTAGAAAAACGAATAGTTTTTATGTAATGATTTTTTAAAAAAAATATGTTAAATGTATTTGTATGTATAAAAAAAATATAAAAAGTATTAATTTTTTATTAGCAAATAACAGAAAATAAAAAAAATATTT